GTTATTTTTGTAAGTGAAGAGAAAGATTAAAAAAATGAAAAAAGTTACAAAAATCTTAGATAAACAATTTTATTTTAAAACTCTTTAACAAGGAGTTGATTGAACTAGTTAAGCTATTAGTAAACAATCTAATGCTGAATACAAAAGGTTTTGATCAAAGTTAAAGCCTGCTATTCTCAGGTCACAAAATCTCAAAGGCTCCCAAGACTTCTGAATAATCTTTAACAGTGTCTATAATACAGACAAATGATGTTATTCAACATCTCTTGCATGGCTCAGATTTTGTTACCTCACCTAAAGACAAAGCTGAATTGATTGCTAAGAACTTTTCATCAATCTCATATTTTGATTCCACTAACCACATCCTACCTGATACAGCTGACAAACAAGTTGATTCATTGTTTGACATTTGTATCACTCCAGCTTCTGTATCTAAAGTGATTTCCTGCTTAGACTCATCTACAGCTTGTGGTCCAGAAGACAAACCTGATATAGTTTTTTAGAATTGTTCTTCTGAGCTGTTGTCTATACTTTCAAAAATATTTAACAAGTGCTTATCAAAGTCATGTTTTCCAGCCTGCTGGAAAGCAGCATCCGTTATCTTTATTTTAATTCTGGAGAGTGATTTGACTTGTCTAACTAATGTCCCATTAGACTTCTTGCTATCATAAGCAAGGTTTTTGAATCTTTAATTATCAATACTTAATCTCTCATCTTGAATCAACTAACTTATTTTCTATTTATCAATATGGATTTCAATAATCTCATTCTATTGCTGATTTGTTAACGGTAATAACTGATAGGTTTCATCGCGGATTAGATATATGTGGAGAGGTTAAGGCTACTGCTCTCAACATTTCTAAAGCCTTTGATAAAGTTTGCTACGCTGGTCTTCATCATAACCTCTCTTTTTTTATGGTGTACCAGGTAAATTTGAGATTTTTGAATTCTCTCTTACCAATCGCCCCATAAAAGCTATCCTCAATGGACAACACTCTTCTACACTTCATGCAACTTCAGGGGTTCCTCAAGGTTCTATCCTTAGCCCTGCACTTTTTTAAATTTACATTAACAACCTCCCAGAAATGCTTACATCTAAGTTGGCATTGTTCGCTGATGATACTACCAACTATTTTTGTCTTGATAAAAAGCAAACACTTTTTGATTGCTTGGAAGGGGCATTTGAGCTTGAAAAGGATCTCACTTCTGCTACATCATGGGACTCTCAGTTGCTGGTGAACTTTAATTCAGACAAAATTCAATTTTTTTCAGCTAATCGTTATTGCAATAATCTAGATCTTTCTATATTTTTAAATGGTAATGTACTCAATAAGTCATATATCAAATCAATTACAAAATTAGCCAGTGGTGTACCCTCATGGTCGTCCGGTGGCATGGGACGATTTGTTTTCTTCAAGGGCGACTGAAATTAAAAAAAAAATGTCTGTAAGTAGCCCGGTAGGACGACCAGACGGTTTGTTACTTATAAGCGAGTGTTTATTAATAAAACTATATATTTTAACTAAAGTAGAAAAGCATTTAGAAAAATAGAGTGGATATTCAAATAATATTTAAAACTTTTTAAGGAACTAAAACAACTTGATAAAAACGTACTGTATAAAAACTTAGCATTATAAAAAATGTTAGCAATGGTCCGCAAAAATGCGCGTTAGTTTTGAAATCAACTAATAAAAGCTTTTTATTGGTTAATTTTAAAATTAATGCGCTTTTTCACGGACTATTAGTAATGTTTTTCATACTGCAAACTTTTTATAAAGCACGCTTTTATAAAGTCATTGAAGTAATTGTAAAAGTTCGAAAGCTTTTAATAATATTTGAATACCCACTTCATATTTTCTAGATGCTTATCTACTTTTATTATAGTTTAGAATTACTGTTGTTTGAACAAAGTATGAATTTTAAAAGTTATAAGTGCTTTATAAAAGTAATAACACTATTATAGTTTTACTACTTTTACAATGCAGTTAGTGACTAGAGTGTTGTTACTTTGGCAGTCGTAAGTTTTTTGTTTTGTTTTTTATAGCTTTTTCCCTTACAAACTTATAATAACTTCCTCCTTAAAAACAAAGTACACAGCTTTGCATAAACTAAATTTTTAAAAATTACATTAGTTTCAATTGAGAAAAATTTTTACACCGAACTATTAATTATCATACTGGACTACTCAAATAAGAAAAAGTAGTAAGAAAGCTTTTTTTTAAATAACAATATTGTGTAAATTATTGTAATATTGTTATTTTATAACAGTATTACAATAATTTACAATTATTGTAATACTGTTATAAAATAACAATAAACATTGTGATAATTTATCTTCAAGATACAATAACAGTATCTGAAAAAAAAAAAGTATTGCAATGACTTCAATAACAATAAATATTTTATTGTAATTCATCTTTAAAATATAATAACAATTTATTGTTATTGTAATAAATTTTTTTTTTGTAATATCATAACTTAAAATTTGTTTTAATTGTTTCAAAAAAAATGTTTCCAGTTGCAGAGTCTTGTGACCTTAAAATAGGGTACAGCTAATATTTAATTATTGATTCTATTTCTATTTCATTTACTGAATATCATTTGTCCTAGTTGCAAACTTTATAGCTCTATAAAAGTGAGTTTTATCTGACCTATTCTTTTTTTACTAAAATGTATGATACTACCATTTTGTCAACTTAGTTATTTGCTTAAACACTAGGCACCTATCCAATCGTTTTGATAATTACTCAACTAACATTTACTCTAATATAACTTTGTCTTTTGTTTACCTGAGGCTTTTAAGGCTGTATGCATTCCATGAAGTAAATGGGCTATTAGATCTAGTTGCAAAGTTATACAAGAATTTTGTAACAAAAATCAAGAATTTATTTGGTATACTAAACTGCCTCATTTTTCAAAAATGACTATATAAGTTAAAGGTACAGACCTGTTGATGAGTTATTTAAAAATTAAAAAAAAATTGCAAAATAAAAGTAGATCAGAAAATCTAACATAAAATTACCCAAGTCATTTATTACTCATTAGCGGTTAATAATAATAATAAAAATAAATTATTTTCATATTTACATATGGTCCCTGCTGTGAGATATCTGCCTTTTAAACGCATCCCGGTGCCGCAGAGGACCCTGGAACCCTGCAGGTATATTTTATGTCATATAACTGTCACTGACTGTTCTGATTGTATGCGAGAGAAAAATGTGTCTGTATGTGTGTGAAAGTAAGTTAGTGATTCACTAATTTAATCAAGAAACAGAGGGTTATTGCAGATGAACCTGCGGAAGTAAAAGCTATTAAAGAGAATGTTTGCTCTTTTAGTTGCTTAATTAGAGTCTGATTCTGAACACGAAGAACACTCTATTGAGAACAGTGTGCATCGATACAGAGCAGAGCCCACCATCAGTACAAAGGCCTGTCAATTGTACTGATGGTGGACCAGTGGTGTCTGCATGTTAGGACCAGTGGTGGTCCTAATATGCAGGTTCACACAGAAGACTGGCCTCAATTGCACAGAAGTACTACTTGCAACACCTGCAACATCCCTACTTTGTTAAAGGTTGTTTTCTCTTGCTGGTCATATTGTACAAAAGAAGATAGTTTCTTTATCATCTGAAATTGTGAATGACCTTGTTTGTCTTAACAACTGGCTTGGTACAGATGAGTAAGATATACTTGGTACGGATATGTAAAATTGGAAGAATGAATAAAATTGTTTAAAGTTTCGACAAACCAAATGTTATTGCCCTTTGGTTCATACAGCAGAGCTTTGAAAAAATAAATTTAAATAATACATTGTGGAAACTGATTTCATTATTGAACTTTTTTGCATTTCTGCGATTAATTGTGATTAATTGCAGAAACGTAAAGAGTTTGTAAAACTTTCAATAATGAAATCAACTTCCAGAATGGGTCCAGAATGTACCAATTGATTCTGGAAATTGGAAATTTCAGTAGAGTTCCATACTTTATTGATGCTGCTCAGTGACATACTTTTTACTTTTTTAAAACGTTAATTCACTCTCTCAACTCACCCGCTCTATTAAGTATTTAAATACTTAACTCTGAAACACAAACCTTGACAAACAAGCAACACAAACCTTGACAAACAAGCAACACAAACCTTGACAAACAAGCAACACAAACCTTGACAAACAAGTAACACAAACCTTGACAAACAAGCAACACAAACCTTGACAAACAAGCAACACAGAGAAGCAAATTGATATAAATATAATTTTGTAGGCCTGAAAGAACCAAACCAAATTATGACATAAATTATCTACTTTATGAATTAGAAAACCATAGTTTGAACAAATTTGAAACTGTAAAATTTATTTTAAAGACATTTGTAGTTTTTGTTTTTTATTTATATACAAGATAATTGTTAATAAACTCTAAAAAAAAACTCTAGAAAACAACAAATTAAAATACTGAAAGTCAGCAGAACAAAACTTGTAATTAGCAGAATAAAACTTTTTGTTGCAGAATAAAACCTGTCATTTTTGTTCATCAGCTGTTAAATCATCTATAGAATCATCTATAAATATTTTTATTTGTAAATCTTTTTTATACATAACATAATTTATTCTTCAGCCAAGTCAATAAGTCAATAACAACTTTTTGCATCAATTTTACTAAGAAGATGCAGAGGTCACAGCAATTGGGTCAAATTGTGTACTTTATTATTTTGATATATTATATAATTTTAACATTTGTGTTATTTTTAAACTTATTGCAATTTTACTTTTTTATGCCACTTTTCATTTTTTTTTTACTTTTTCTATCAAATCTGACTTCAAAGATTAAAAAACATTTTATTTTATTTGAACTCATTTGAAATTCATACAGAAATTTTAAATAATAGATAATGTAAATTTATTCAAATGTATTTATCAATTATATAAACAAATAGAAAAATTAAAAAAAAAACCTTTTTGTATTAAACAGTTATTAACATTAGTCATAAAAACTTATTTTCTTACCTTAAAATTACAAAGAAGATTTTCTTGCAACTTCACATAAATACATAACCCTAATAAAAATGTAAAGAAGATTTTCTTGCAACTTCACATAAATACATAACCCTAATAAAAATGTAAAGAAGATTTTCGTGCAACTTCACATAAATACATAACCCTAATAAAAATGTAAAACAGAATAAGCTAAAGTTTTATAGATAACAACAAACAAATTTTAACTGAATTGTAAATAAAAACGCAATAAAATATCAACAAGCAAATTGAAAACCTATTAAAGAAGCCAAAGAACAATGAGGTACAGTAGGCACAAATTGCACCTTTATACTAATGCTTTGATCAAAATAATGGTTAACTTGAACAAGGTCTTTACTAACAATGTGCAATTCTTCTAGTGTCTCAACTCTTTCAGGGTCCTAAAACATAATGACAATTAATACATAATTTCTTTTAGAGCCTTTTAGTAAAAAAGTAATAAAAAAATAAATAAAAAAAAATAGCATTTACTTTAATTGTTCGAATAATATCTAAATTAAAAAAAAAAATTTACGTATCAACTAGATGTATATAAATATATATAACAGCAAAAAGGTTTAAAACAGCAACAATTATAGATTTAAAACAGCAACAGGTTTAAAAAACATAAGTATGATGTAATCAAAAGGTTAAATATTTCGAATCGCATCTCGAACCAAAGCAGGTCTTGATTCGCAATTCGAATCACATTTCGAATCAACATTTTGAAGTCTGCATTTTTTATTTAATAATATATATTTCAAAATAAAATAGAATAAAATAATTGTATAATCTCTTTATTGATGCTTCTTGCCCTGGTTAACCTTTTTAATGACTGATTAAAAAGGTATTTAAGGATAAGTAGCATTATTTTAATAGCGCCAAAGTGCAGAATATCTAAAATACCTACAACAAAAACAAAATAAGTAAGGATTTGATTTTTGAAAATTTTTGAATCGTATCTCAAATCATATTTTTATTCGATTCGAAATTTCGCAGGGCCCTAATATATATATATATATATATATATATATATATATATATATATATATATATATATATATATACATATATATATATATATATATATATATACATATATATATATATATATATATATATATATATTAGGGCCCTTTGAAGCTTCGAAATTTCGAATCGAATAAAAATATCGAATAAAAACAACCCAAACCCTCAGTCAATGTATGCAATAAAGCCTGTGATTATTGCTATTTCAATATGACATCATCAGTGATGTTACATTTATTTATTAATAGCTTTGTTTTTGCCAGAACCATCATACCCAAAGAACATAATTTTATGCAGAACTAGATTTTTAAAAATTATGAGAGGAAAGTGCTAAAGTAGTTCAAAACAAATTCTATTATTGCTTAATAAAAAAATAATTTATTGAGTGATTTGAAATTTATGCAACAATGTATATAAGATATATATTACCACTCTAGTATAAGATATATTTGAACTGTTAAAACTATTTTAAATTTAGATTTTTACAAATTTTATAAGCCTTTATAAAATTTTATAAAAAAAGGATGTATAACCAAAAAAAAAAAGGATAACCAATAACATTCATCTTAGCTGTGTTTTATAAATGATTTTCCTATTGAGTAAAAAACATTCTAATTATAATAAACTGTCTAATATGAGCAATACAATCTTTAAAATGCTTCATTTAACTTTCACTAACCTTTAACAGCCACAGATCTTTTGCATAATATAATAAAGGTCTGTTAAAAAGCAAAAGTATATTTGTATACAACTTCATATGAATGTCTAATTATGCTTAACGATAAACTTTTATTTGGGCCCCAATAAATTTACAATTTTTTTAGTAAAAAATTAATAAAATTAATTTGAAAGGTTTTTTCTGTTTTCTAATGTTCTTGTGACTATTTCTACATTTCTTTTCATATTCTGACTTTTAATACACTTATTTGTATTAATCAGTTTTAATACACTGATTCTCTCATACACTAACTTGTATTCTTTTATCATTTATCATTGCCAATAAAAGTTCAAGGTTGGCAAAATATAGATTTTTATATAAAATATATGTTTTAAATAAAAAATTTAAATTACTAATTAATTAGGCAAGATAAAAAGTATTTTAAGCAAAATCAATAATAATGTTATCAGCAACCCATGTTATCATTAAAAATAAATCCTAATGGTCATACAGAAGAAAAAAAGTTGTTTTTACTAATTTATTACTGCTTTGTTTACAAATGTTGAGCACTCTTATTGTTGAATACACAACATTACAAAAATCAAAATTTGTGTGTCTTCCTCCTATTATTAAAAACTAAGAAATTTGTTTAAAATAACATTATTTATCAGTATTTTTCATGTTAACAAGTTATTAGCATTTAAGGAAAATAATAGTTTTTTGAATAGATGAAAATGGTTTTAGTTTTTATCCCTTAACATCATTAAAAGAAGTTAAAGTATAAATACAATTGTTCAAAAAAAAATTGAATTGTCAATAAGTATGATTATTTTAAAGGAAAGAATAATATAAGAATTATTTCCTTTTAATTCAAATAATTACTTCCTTTTAATTCAAATAATTATTTCCTTAATTTTATTCGTTTGTAATTAAAAAGATTTGTAGGTATGTTAATGGATTGTTATCCAATATAAATTCAGATTAAATTTTGAAAAAGAGATAGTTTGATTTTGTAAAGTTGGATTTAGCGAATTGCCACAATGAAAAATCAAGCAAAAGTTTACGATGAAAATTAAGAATTTGTGTACTAGCTCTGTATGAAAAATATCTGTGATTCTTGGGTACTACAAGGACTTTGTGAATCGTGTTTCAATTTTGTGCAGGAAACAAGAGGGGAAAAAAGTTGAACACACTCATTTATTGCCTAATCTGCCAAATTGGTCAATCAAAGCTGCAAGAAAAACATCTCTCGCAAACTACCATTGAGAAAGAATCAAATGTTGTACATTGCAGCACATGCCTCTGCCTTTAAGGAAAAGGTTTGCCCCACCAATGCTTTCAAATAAAGTTCAAGTAAAATCTTTAACCTTTAGCAGCAAAAGATGTCAGAGCAGCTGAACAAGTTGCATTGCGAGTTATTTCCAATAAAGACTTATCCTCTGAAGGAACTTATTTATATGCTAAATCATCTGGCAAGCCTCAGCTTACAATTATCCCATGTAAATATTTATACTTAAACAATTTTTACATATTTATTCAAATACAATTTTTAAAAAAAGAGACAAGATGGGTTTCTGGAACTTTAAACAAATTTCTAATCACTTTAAAAACAAATAATTTGAAAGTTTTAAAAGTTTAATATAAAGATAAAATATGCATGTCTTGGTTTCAAGTCAAAGTAGTGCCCAACCACTATCTAGCACTCTAAAATTGACCATTCTAGCTCTTGTAAATGTACAATTAAAAACGGGACTATCAAACAATGGATTAAAAAAACTGGTCAGAACTGTAAACCAAACATCAAGCAGCAAGATGGTAGAGTCAATTTTTTTCAGAATTTCTTAAGAGCAGGTCAACACTTAGGTTTAAATAGTTATTTTTTAATTTTATTTTGAAAGCCAATTTATTTAAGAAGGTTTCAAGGGACAATTAAAATTTATTTAACAGAAACATTTTTTTTTTGTTTTACCAACTGATAGTTCTTTTGCCAGGTTTTGCACTTTTTTTTGCATTTTGGCAGGAGTTTATACTTTAAGAAATGTTGAGATATTTACACTATGCATTAGCCAATTGAAACCATGCTTCGAATAGCACATCAATATTTTTGTCTATAGAATGAAAACGGAACATGTAGCAATAAAACAACTATAATTAAAAATTGTTGATACTTCATAGAACATTTATTTTGAAAACAGTGATCGAATATCACAGTAATCGGTAACATTATGAGGTCTAAGTAGCAAAAAACTAACAAAATATAAACTAAAACTATCATAAATCCTGAACTAGTAAACCAAATCAACTGAAATTTCAACCAGAGTTTCAGGTGACCATATGCTATAAGTGCACTAATTTTTATCAAATTATATATAGAGGTTCTCATTCTAAAGGTGTTTTATTGTTGTACTATAAAATCAAAATTTCAAACAATTTGAAAATTCAAGTTAAAATACTTTCCCTGGACAAAATAAAAAGATTTCAAAGTTTGCATAGCAGGGTACCTTGATGTGTACACTATCACCCCATATAAGTGGCGCTTTTGGGTCAGCTAGGTTGGCATTATCAAGACCTGTGCTAATTAATATAAGGGCAAATCAATAATAAGGGCAAATCTGTTATTCCTTCTCTCTTGTATGGTTCAGACTTTGTCACCTCACCTAAAGACAAAGCTGAATTGTTTGCAAAGAACTTTTCATCAATATCATCTCTTGATTCCACTAGTTGCGTTTTACCTGACATAGCCGTCAAACAGGTTGATCCCTTGCTTGACATTCGCATCACTTCAGCTTCTGTATCTAAAGTAATTTCCTGCTTAGACTCTTCAACAGCTTGTGGTCCTGACAACATTTCTGTTGTAGTCTTGCAGAGGTGTTCTCCAGAGCTTTCATCCATACTTTCTAAACTATTTAACAAGTGCTTATCAGAGTCTTGTTTTCCATCATGCTGGAAAGCAGCATCTGTTATCCCTATTTTCAAAAATTCCGGAGAGCGATCTGATTCATCTAACTACCGCCCCATTAGTCTTCTTCCTGTCATAAGCAAGGTTTTTGAATCTTTAATCAACAAACACTTAATCTCTCATCTTGAATCAAATAACTTACTTTCTGATCATCAATATGGATTTCGGTCTTCTTGTTCTACAGCTGATGTGCTAACAGTAATAACCGATAGGTTTTACCATGCATTAGATAGAGGTGGAGAGGTTAAGGCTATCACACTTGACATTTCTAAAGCTTTTGACAAAGTTTGACATGCTGGTCTTCTCCATAAGCTTTCTTCTTATGGTGTACCTGGTAACGTCTTTAAGATTATTGAGTCCTTTCTTTCCAATCGTAGTATAAAAGTTGTCCTCGATGGACAACACTCTTCTTCATATCCTGTAACTTCAGGGGTTCCTCAAGGTTCAATCCTTGGCCCTATACTCTTTTTAATTTACATTAACAATCTTCCAGATATTCTCACATCTAAGGTGGCATTATTCGCTGACGACACTACCATTTACTCTTGTCATGATAAGAAGCCTACACTCTCTGATTGCTTGGAGGGGGTATCTGAGCTTGAAAAGGATCTCACTTCTGCTACAGCATGGGGCTCACAGTGGCTGGTGAACTTTAATTCAGATAAAACTCAATTTTATTCGGCCAATCGTTATCGTAATAATTTAGATCTTCCTATATTTATGAATGGTAATGAACTAGATGAGTCATCTACCATTCATCTTCTAGGATTAACTCTTACTTCTGATCTTTCTTTTAAACCGTATATCAAATCCATTGCAAAATTAGCATCTGCTAAGGTTGCATCTCTTTATCGAGCTCGACACTTTCTTACTCCAGATTCTATTCTCTATCTCTATAAATCTCAAATCCGGCCCTGTATGGAATACTGTTGCCACATCTGGGGCGGATCTTCTAATGATGCTCTTTCTCTTTTAGACAAGGTGCAAAAACGAATTGTAAACATAGTTGGGCCTGCTCTGGCAGCCAATCTCCAACCTTTGTCACATCGTCGTAATGTTGCTTCTCTTTCTCTTTTCTACAAATACTATAATGGACACTGCTCTAAAGAGCTAGCGCCCCTTGTGCCATCTACTAAAATTCATTCTCGTGTTACTCGCCATTCAATTAAGTCTCATCCTTTTTCTGTGACTGTTCCTAAGTGCTTCAAAAACTCTTATTCTTCTAGTTTTTTTCCTCGAACATCAGTTCTTTGGAATTCGCTTCCTTCATCTTGCTTTCCTGATTCATATAATTTGCAATCTTTTAAGTCATCAGTCAATCGTTATCTTGCTCTACAGATTTAGTCTTTTCTCTTCCAGTAACTTCCAACTCTTATAGTGGTTGCTTGCAGCCTTGTTGGAAGTGAAGATGTTTAAAAAAAAAAAAAAAAAAATCGTGTTTAGTAATTTAAAAACTATTCAGAACTTTCCAGTCCAGACAATTCAGTTCTTTTAACATTTTTTTTTAAACTTTTAACAATATCAGAGAAAAATGTTTGAAAATAAAATTTTAAACCAATCAAATAAAGATTCAAATTAGTAAAAATGTTTTTAAATTTGTTTAGATTTATAACCATAACTTAATATTAATTACATTGTATTATGTTAATGACAATTAAGTAATTTTTTGTAAACCTTTAGAAGCCTTCTGATTTATGCATTTCATTATTTATTATATTAAAATTAAAAAAAAAAATATTGAAAACTCTTTGGAAAGACATGGCGTATGTTCATAAGAATAATGTTACTACCTAGTATAAAATATTAAGAAACTTTATTTAAAAACAAAATAAGCTTCAAAATGATTGTTTTTTAACCAAAATAATAACAAGAATGACTTAAGCTTGAAAAGAAAAGTTAATTTAAAAACTTAAGTTAAACGAAAATAGTTTTTTATATTTAATTTGTTTATGTTTTTAAAATAAGAAAATAAAACAAAACCTACTTACTTAAAGACTTTACATTTTTTATTTTAAATTTTATTTTATTTTATTTTAAATTTTTTTTCTTTACAAAAAAAAATTTAAGAAAGATTTCTTAAAACAAAGGAATTTTCAAAAATATGTCTTGCAAGTTGTTGGTGAATGTCAGAAATTATTTTAAGATATAACATAAAATCCATTTACAAGTAAACTTTAAATGTTTGTAAATGATATTTAAATCTTTTAACACTTCTTTGATTAATAACAAATGCTCATAATATATTGTTAACATAATGTATAGTTTTATAGCTTTATCAAAATATTACTTGGATAATATAATGCAAACATTAATTGAATAATAAAACAAAAGTAACTAAATGAAAAATAGTAAATAAAATCAAAAAAGTTAAAAATAAAAAATCAATTTATCTGGATAAATTATTCTAAATCGATGTCAGCCAAACTATAATTTTTTTAAAATTTTTAAAATAATTTTTTACTTTCAGGGCTGATCAGCCAGGAGTTTTTTGTAATTTAGCAAAAAAACTTATAGATCATATTTTCATATTTAAACTTTTAGATGATCAAGGATGTGATACATGCAAAAAAAAAAAAGAACCCTTTATTTTATATATTACCTATATATGTTTAATAATAAAAGAAACCAACAAAAGTAAAAAAAAACATGTAAAAAATGAGCAATTTAATAAGAAATTATTGAACTCAATACTATTTTATCCATAATTATTAATCATATATGTTTATGTAATAAAACAAACACTTACAACATATTATACAAATTGAATGTATGTAATATATATTAATGTTTATAATAATATATAATTATAAATATATAATATTATATAATGTATGTTTATTAACAAGCATATATTATATGCTTGTAAATAAACATACAAAAAAGAAAAATATGTAAAAATGTAAAATTTGTTCAAAAATAACACAGTTTGTGTATTCAAGAAAACCATAAAAATTTACCATATACCTCCCAAACCAAATCAAAACAATCAGGATTGATAATTTTACTCATTTCTTATTTGCGCCCATTCATGCTGTTATTCAATCACCATTAACTCTATTTACTTTTAAAATATAAACTCAATGTTAAATCTTATAATTACTAAATTATAATAAACAAAATAAGTTTAAAAAACTTTAAACACTCCATTTATACAGCTCTAGACTTACAATCACTCCAGAATTACAAAACTAAATTTAGGTAAAGATAAAAAAACAAACATGATTATTAAAGAATATTAAACTAATGTTCTCACTTATTTTGGAGCTTTCAGAAAAAATCTTAAAACTATATATATATATATATATATATATATATATATATATATATATATATATATATATATATATATATATATATATATATATATATATATATATACATACATACAGAGGCTTATTTAGACTGTTTTTGACAGCGTCGACCATATTTGGATGCTGCTTAAATTCAGAAAGTGAGGACTTTTTTATTTTTTTATGGAAAACATTGTTTTTTCACAAAAAATGCCTACATACGGCAAATTTCCTTACAGAAAGACCGCCATAGGGGTACCACTGCCCAAGTTATTTTTCTAGATAAGCCCCTGATATATATATATATATATATATATATATATATATATATATATATATATATATATATATATATATATATATATATATATATATATATTATATATACATACATATACATATATAATATGTATAATGGAAAATTTTTTTATATATACTTATATCATATTAAAAAATATATATTCTATTACATATAATAAGAATAGTTACTATATTTTAAAGATTTAAAAATGGTAGAATGCCATTAAAGCTTTTTTATGTCAACAATATTTACTGCAGTAACTTGTGATAATTTTATTTTTAACTTGCACTTCTTGCATATACAAGTAACTTTGCTTAACAAGTAACCTAGTTTTTGGAAGAAACATCATGAATGACATCATATTGAAATTTGAATATTGAGGGCTTCAGCACATACATTAACTGAAGGGCAGATATAATATAGATATAAAAGACATTTAATAAATTTATCTATTTATTCTTTTTATCATTCTTTGTTTTTTTATTCTTTGACTGGAAAAATTGTTTGGATTAAAGCATTTTAAAAATAGTGTATATATATACACACACATGCAAAATACAAACAAAAAATGCTTTTACAATATAAAATTAAAAAACCAAAAAATTTAGAAAGATAAAAAAAAGTTAATAATAATAACAATGAAATATTTTCTATAAACAATTTACAAAAACCATCCAAAATATATAAGCACTTTAAAATTAAGAAAAAACAAAAACTTTAAAACACGCACAAAAATGTATGAAAGAGTACTTAATATTGTTTAAAAATAGAATAAGTTTTACACAGGTGTATCTGCTATATAACATACTTTAAACGTAATTCAAAAATTAAAGAGGAAGCATTTCTTCATCGCTACTTTCGTTTTTAAAACTAAACACTTCATTTATTTCATCTGAGTCGTCATCAGAAGTTATTGCAGATAGCTTGTAAAAAAAGCACTTTTATTGCAATTGCAACCCATAAAAACATTCTCTTATATAAAATATTCATTTGTTAAATTTCATTTTATAGTAAATCGAGTGAAAAATACCTTGGTATATAGCAAGACACAAATAATACAAAAAATACCTTGGTATACTTATAGCGAGACACAACACGAGTTTTTCTTCCCATTATTGAATTAATTGTGTTAGTCAGCATTTCTCTATTTTAAAAGTAAAACTAGTTAGTCATAAGTTAATGATCTTGAAAATAATATTGGAAAAAGAAAAAACTAAAATAAAAAAAAAAAAAAAATTTTTCCTCTAACTGTGAAAGCTTTAGTTGCATCAAGAAAATTACTAGATTTTATATAATATAATATATGTATAAATTAGTAAAAAAACTTATCTAACTTTTTTTCAACAAGTTGTTTCTCCACTAGTAAGTTCATCAGGAAGCTTGGAAGGCTTTCTCAACTTACTTAAGATGAAACAACTTGTTTAAGAAAAAATTAGAAAAGTGTTTTTACTTAAGATGAAACAACTTGTTTAAGAAAAAATTAGATAAGTATTTTTACTAATTTATTATTGCTCTGTTCTTTTTAAGAGCATTGAGCACTCTATTTGTAGAATACAATAACATAACAATGCAATTACTGGCTGGATATTTGAAAAAATATCCTTTACTCATTCATTTAAAGAATGATTAAGTAAAAGATTAGTTTCAGTTATAAAAAGTTGACGATTCAAGTTGATATTAAAGGTTGTAATTAAGAGAAAGATTTGTTTAACCTTGGAGTTTTGCATTGTGAAAAACTTATTCTATAATATTTTCAGGACATTCTTTTAGCCATATTTTTAGTTCTGCTAATCTTTTTTCTAGTTCTACTAGTTTTTCTTTTTCGTAATCAGATGTGAAAACAATTATTATTTTAGTCAGGTTGAAAGGGATATTCTTTTTTATGTAATAAGGATGATGACTTTTATAATTTAAGTAATCATAAGGTCTCTTTATAATAAATGTCTGTTTTTATTTTATTGCTATTTTCAAGAATAATAGATGTCTAAAAAATTAATCACATTGTAAGTGTTACCATCTTTTATAAATTTTTTGCTCTGGCTTGTTGTAAAACTGATTGAATTATCTATTTCAGTTAAAGAATTTACAAACTTTATGATATACAATTGTTTTGGCCAGGTTATAAAACCACCATCAATATATCTATAATAAAATTGTTTTATATCATTAACTTCTTGATCGGAAAAGTATTTAGGTAAGAATTTAGGAAAATGTTTTGTTTCTACTAAAAACCCAATTGTGTGACAAGCGTAGTCTGGAGCAGATTAGTACCCATTGCTGTTCCTGTAATTTGGTGATACATTTTGCCATTAAACAGAAAGTTATTGTTTTCTAAAATAAAAGATGAATAAAAATTATACTAATAAAAATTCTTGATTAAATCTTTCATCTTATGTAATCTTTAAAGCTTCTAATCCTAACTTGTGTAAAATGAGAAATGACATATGAATCAAAACATTAGTTTTAAAACTAATAAATAAAAAGTCAATCAACAAAGTTCAATAAAGAAATCTTATTGATGATACCAGCTTTGTGTTGGATTCTTTCCATAATGTCACAATTAGATTTTAGAAAGAAAGACAGGAACTACAAACTCTAGTAATGGACAAATAAAAGTCAAATAATGCAAAGTAATTTACAATCAAAATGAGCAAAAAATTTCTTGATGCAGCCAAGCATTTGATTTGCTTTATTGGAAGTAGTAATGACTTTTTGCATATAAGATTTGTACTGAAAAGCAAGCAATCTCTTTCTGTATCAGACTAAATTAAATAACATTTATATAATATGAAATGTTTTTGCAGTTAATGCAGAACTGCACATTTTGAGGTGTTAAATAGAAGAAGTCAAGTTTGAGATTTGTTGGCATTATCTAGATCTGTTTAAAGTTTAGTAGTACATAGTAGGGTACAGTGAATTTCATATGTTTTTGAAAAAAATAAAGTTAAAGCTTAGGAAAAGGTGTATTTTAATGTAAAATTAAATTTTAAGGTAGGTTTGCTATTGACAACTTTTTGATTAGAAAACGTTTTGATACCCAAATTTTCATATTTAGACATTATTAAAATGAAATATACTTTAATTATTATAAAGTAAATTTAATCCGGTTTTATGTTTAGTTTCTCATAATGAGCGCAGTGCCAAATCAATTTTTAAAGAAATTCTTAGCTCTCCACCGTAAAAAACATCTAAACAAGATCGTAGTCTGTAAATATTTTATTGTTTATTATATTCCTAGTGAGCTGCCTACAAACAGAGCAGTTATTCAAAAAGGAATTTTATTAAAAGAACAAAAAAGCATAACATGCAATTTACACCAAAATAAATATTCTAACAAAGATCTTGCTAACGATCTAATTCCACTTCTTCTTGCTCAATGGAAAAAAGCAAGTATTTTATTTCAACAACCAGTTATTATTGGGGAGAAATCGCTTTATTATAGAATAAAAACACTTTGGGAGAAAGTAGAAAACGTTGCATGGGGAAGAACTAAGGTAAAAGTAAAAGAAGAGCTAATATTGAAGTTAGATAAACTAATGGACCTCATAACATGTCCTCACACAATACTTCTATGCAAGCATGATCTGTCTGGGTGTTCTTCCCCCAAAAATTGTAAAAATAAAGCACATATAAATTGCACCTGTATTTATTCTAAAAAAATTCCAACTATGGAGCTCAGGTGGTTATACACTGTATAACCACCTGTTATACACTGTATAACCACCTGACTGTATAATACAGTCAAAGAAATAAGACAGGTGAAAAGTCTGACATAGATGGGACATGCTAATAAGATTGAGATAATGAAACTAAGTAAAAAGTATAAGAGAAAAGTCAGCGATGAAGAAGCTCACAAGAAAAGAATTAAAAAAATAGAGGAGGAACAGGCATTCTTCGAGGTAAATATAATTTCTTAATAATAAATATTTTCTTTTTTCATATAATAATAATAATAACAATAATATATATATATATATATATATATATATATATATATATATATATATAAATATATATATATATATATATATATATATATATATACATATATATATATATATATATATATATATATATATATATATATATATATATATGTATATATATATATATATATATATATATATATATATATATATATATATATATATATATATATATATAAATATATATATATATATATATATATATATATATATATATAAATATATATATATATATATATATATATATATATATATATATATATATGTGTGTATATATATATATATATATATATATATATATACATATATATATATATATATATATATATATATATATATATATATATATATATATATATATATATATATATATATATATATATATATATATATATATATATGTATTTTGGTTTTAATTTGGTTTTAGGTCGCAAAAGAAGAAGATATAGAATTAGATAAAGAACATCAAAAAAATATTTTTCCTGGCTTTCTCGATGAAAACTATAATCTAGATAATGTTAACTTAACTTTAAAACAAGACAATGAAATTGTCTTGTTTTTGGTTAAAAGGCTGCTAAAGGAAAAGTTAGGTGTCTATGCTTTCCTTGTAACACGGTTTTTAGAAAAGAAGTCAAGATATAACACAATGTCAATAAAAAACACAGCTATGGCTAGTATAAGGTAATTATATTGACTATTGTTTTGTTGAGCAGCAACATGAGTTAATAGAAATAAATATAAACCATTCTTAGTTTATAGGTTTGGGATTTCACCTGCCACAACTGCAGCAATTTCTACAAGTTATCTTCAAGATTTAATTGAAGCAGGATTTCTCACCCCTGAGTCCTCTTACCTTGCTTGTGATCCTTCTAAGTTGACGAGAGAGAGAAAAAAGGTGATGGTGGTTGCGAAGAAAAATGATAATTTAAAACTTCCGAAAGCAGATAATATTGCCATTTACTTTGACGGAAGGAAAGATTCAACAAGAGCAATGATAAATGATTCAAATGGACAGCTACATCCTATTATTATCAAAGAGCAGCACATTACTGTGACTATAGAACCTGGTGGTCGATATTTTGGCCATTTTACCCCCAATGCACCTAATCATCTAGATAAGCCAACTAAAAAAATTGTTGAAGGTGTTTATAATTTGCTGCAACAACATAATCTTACTGAATCATGTTTAGTACTTGGAGCTGACAGTACTTCAATTAACACAGGCTGGAAAAGCATCTTGAAAAGCTGTTAGGTCACAAGTGCCACTGGGCCATATGCATGCTTCATTCGAATGAATTATTTTTGCGTCGCCTTATAGAAGGCATTGATGGACCAACATCATGTAGTACTGTATTTGTAGGTCCTGTGGGAAAATTTCTTCCTGAAGTTAATAAAATGGAGTATAATCCTCAATTTAAAGCTCTTCCAAATGGAGAGAGCTTTGTTGATATTCCAGAAACAATATTAAAAAATATGTCAACAGATCAGAAATAATGTTACAAGCTATGTAAAGCAGTTAAGATTGGTTTATTGCCACCTAATCTTAGAGAAATTCAATGTGGCCCCTTAAGTCATGCCAGATGGCTCACTACTGGCATGAGAATAGTCTTTATGTGGACAAGGAAACACAACTTAAATGATCAAAATTCACAAAATATAGAAATACTTGTTGTGGTTTGTTTACAATTTTACTTTAAACTTTTTTTTGACTTAAAGGTCAAAAACAGACTTGAAGATGCTTCTTATCGCATTCTGTCTCAATTGAGAATTCTTAGAATGCAACCTGATAGAGTAAAAGAAATTGTGACTCCCTACATCCAGTTAGGGGCTTGGTATGCGAACCATGAAAGTATGCTAATCTCTTTATTATCTAGTAATAATGCAGAAGATCGCAATTTTGCAGTTGATCGGATTTTGAAACTAAGGGGTAATGATATCCTTGGAGATATGCGAATCAGACCAAGAAAAACACCTAAACTTAACTTTGCAGCAACTACTCTTCAAGAGCTAGTTAAATAGGAAAATGGTGTTGTAGAAGAACCTGTTTTTACTTGTTCGCTCACCAGAGATAAGTTGTTATTACTTAGATTGATACCTTTAATAACTCCTTCGATTAAAATTCATACTCAAAGTACTGAACGTGCTGTAAAACAAGTGA